AAGATGTGTATAAGAGACAGTATATATATTGTATATTTTGGTATTTCATATCTGAGATTTTCAAATAAATAAAAAGGCCTAAATAACTAAATTTTGAAAGAAAAAAGAATAAAAATGATAGATGATATCATAAGAGTTAACAGATAAAATCTTACATTCCAACGTCGATCATAAAATTAAATGATATAAAATAACGTTAAAACTTTAATCTAATGGAAGTACATAAGAAGTTTTTATAAAAGGAAATAAGGAACTTTGACAACCACATGTTTTATGCAAAAGATAGATGACATAAAAGTTAACAGATAAAATTTTACCTTCCAATGTCAATCATAAAATTAAATGTTAAAAATTAACATTAACTTCAATCTAATAAAAGTACACAAGAAGTTATTGTAAAAGAAAAAAGGAAACCTTGACAACCACATTCTTGGCCTTATTTATACTAAGGTTAGGTGACATCATAACATTTAATAGAGAAAAAAATGAAAACTTACTTTCCAATTGTCAATCCTAAAATTAAATGATATAAAATAATATTAACTTTAATCTAATAAAAGTACATAATACGTTAATTTAAAATTAATTAACCACATAATAATAATGGTATGTTAGGAATCAAACTCAAACTGTAGTATCCAAAATTAGTATACATAGTGAACCGTTTAAATCCTTTCAGCTGAGAGTACTAACCAATCATAAAAAAAACAAAAAAACAATTCTTTAGGGATAATTAGAATATAGCACTTATCATGGAATATGTCGCAATCTGTTGCTCTCTTGCACCTATTACGAGGTGTGACAACTGCTAAATCTAATCACCTGTTTCTGCCAGGTAATTTACAGTCAGGTGTTTTAAAACACCTGTTCTTACCTTTTGTTAGTCTCATACTGATAAATGTGGTAATTGTTCTTATCTTTGCCTTCTGTTTGAAAGTTTATTAGAAGGTTTTGGAATATTATCTGCTTAATATTTTAGTAATTGCGTCATTTAGAAATTTAGAAGTCACCTTATTCAAGAGTAATTTCATTTGTCTATCAGTCAGTTTTCAAATTTTTTTTTCTGTTTCTGTCTGGTTTCAGTTTTTGAAATATTCTTTCTCATCATTCAGAATTTAATAGTAAGTAGTTTTTTAGTTATACACAGTGTGTCGGTTATTCCAACCCTGCCTTTGAAAATTGTGAATTCCAAAGTTAATGTTGTTAATCACTGTTTTTATATTAAACTAAAATACCTGCAGTCTGTATTACTAATTGAGTACATATGATCGAAAATACCTGGAAATTTGATATTTTCCCACCATTGTTGAAAATGTAGATGAGGGAAAAATAAAAATTGTAACACTAACTTTCTAGCCAGTACTCCCATGAGTCACGGAAGCCTCCCAGAAATCAACATGGTTTGATTCAGATTCAGATTTATTCATCGATCATTATAAAATACATGAAATTTGTTTTCCTGAGTTGTAATACTGTACACATAAAGCTCATTAAAATATAAGTACACAAAAACATTCAGCTGCATAAAAAGGTAAAGGCATTACATACATCATAATATAGAAAGTATAAATATTAAAAGTTTTTATAAAAAGACATGACAGTGTTAAAAACCAATAAAAAACATACAGATAATAAAATTGCAACGAAAGGGACTGCCTTGCATTTGTACATTAAAACTTACCTACTGAATTTACCATTGTAGAGACAAATTGCACTTGAGAAAAAAGAGTGTTAAGTCGGTTTGTTCAAATTTTTAGTTGCCTTAGTCTTCCTGATTTGTTTATATGTATTTCATTATGTAGGGGATGTGTTTCATTACAAATTATTTCTTGCAGTTTAGATAAAATGGCTTCCTCAACAATTTCTTTTATGGGATTGACATTTTTGTTGTTAGTTTTACTTGCAGCCTTAGTTACTTGATAATATATCTTGATTTTTTCTTGTGAGCTCAGAGAACCAGGCTATACAGCAGAAGCAAATAACAGATTGTATCATGCCCTTATAAAATATAGATAATGTTTCTTGACCAACTTTAAATTTGCTTAACTGCCTTAAAAAATGTAAGTGTTGTCTGCATTTACTGTAAAAGTTAAGTGTGTGAGTGTCCCACTTCAGCTTATTATCAACTGTGATTCCAAGATATTTGTATTCATTTGTCATTTCAATATCCTTATTTTCAATTTGAATTAATTCCACATAGTTATACCCTTTTCTAAAATCAAACACCTTCTCTTTAGTTTTTTTTTAACATTTATTACCAAATAATTGTCCTTACAACAACTTAAAATCCTACTGACTTCATTTCTATATTCTCTTTCAAAACCATTTGTAATATATCCAGTTACACACATGTCATCTGCAAATTAAAAAAAAAAAATTATTGATATGTTGTAGTACTGATTTTCTTAAGACAGAAAAATGTTGTTGGGAACAGTTAATGAGATACATATTTTTCAGTATTTGAAAACTAGGGTAAAGGGAGCATAATTATTTTTTCCCATCTTTTCCCACAGTTTTTAAATATTAAAAAATCTGTGTCTCATTAACCAATATCCAGATTTTCATCAAACAACTATTTTCTGTCTTAGAATAATCAGTTTTATAACATATTAGTTTTTTTTTTTATCCGGAGCCTGAATTTGACTGTCTCTACTTCTCTTGTCTTTCATGGTACCACCATGCACAATAAAAGACAATGTGTTAAGAAAGATCCTTAAGTGAGATTTCACAGAAGATGCTTCTTCTAACATGGGGCCCACGATACTCTTCTAATTAATGTACCAACATTTCAAACTTGACATGTTGCTGCTATTTCTTTTTTTGTAAGTATTCTACTCGTACGATATTAGTGATCACTCTAGTTATGCCTTTGTAGTTTGAATTGACAGAATAATACTCTGCATGAACTCTCTTTGGACAAATATCTATTTGTCAATATTAGCAATAAATCTTGAAAAATCTTTCGAACAATTGGAAAGAAATGATGCTTTGGGATTTATCCTAGGTTTCCTCAAGGCAGCTGTGATTATGATGTCATCCCTATTGCATTTGTTTACAAAGGAACTTCTGTGGATAAAGTCTTACTGCCAAATTTTACGATCTTCATTCCTAATGAAATCTTACAAAAGCAGGTAAACTAATCAAGTGGGCCATTCCAAGATACTGCTGTCATAGCAATTGTTAGCTGCGTACCTGAAACTCTACAATGCCAAGTATAAACTTTATATATTATGAAGCAGGGCCTGATATTATATCATTACTTCTAAAGTATGCTGCATGTAAAGAGGTTCCTGTTATAGTGTTCTGAACAAATACTCTATATATATATATATATATATATAGGGACCATTGCCAGATTATCATAGGCCTTATCCTGTCTGCTGTACATGCGAAGACCCACTGACTTGTATCCCACAATGCAGTTAGCTGTAGGCGTACAAACTTCTGAGACTGGTGGCTGTTTTTATTTTTTGATGTATAAATATCAGCCAATATCGTAAGTACTATAATGGGATATTAGAATTGAGTTACTAGCTCCAAATTTTTGGAGTGATGGAGGTGATGGGAACTAGAGGTAATTAACCACAGTAGTTAATTTTAATACCATTGTCATAGCGCCACTGAACATTGCATTCTGCCATAAATATTGGCACTTTACAAATACTTATTTGTTTGATTGATTGAGAGAAAAATTGTTGTGTCACCAGGAGCTTTAATCAGCTAAAATATAAAATATAACCTATGCTTTAAACCACCTTGTGGTAATGCTAAAATATGTATGTATGGATTGGATTATGTTTATTAAGTGTGTAACAATAGCCACTGATGAGACACACAAAATATAATTTTGTGTTAATGCTGAATATAAGGTAGGTCATGTATAGTTTTCGTAACCATATTCACCAGCATGATCTCTTTGACTTATTCAAGTTATGTTACTATATACAGTAATCTATATATAATTATAATCTATAATTATATCCATTTCACTCTATTTTAAAAAGTAATAAGATGATAATGTTTTTGTTTTCATCATAGACGAAGCAAGTCTTTCAAACCACAAGTACAAGTCAAGGTGAGAAAAGAATTATGAATCAGTCACATTTCATTGTTTTTCTGAAATAGAACAAGCTTTGAAATAATTGTATTAATGTAAAGATCTGTTGTTAGCCAAATCGATTATGAGTTTTCACTTTAAGTCCCCATCTGACAGATCGAATCCACCTAAGAACAGCTTAACATGGCTCCTGTATCTATAATTAGTTCCAATTCTCTCTGGCCATTGCCATTTTCTGTATTTTCTAATTCATGTCTAATTTGTTTGTTTGATCTGACTTAAAAATTTAGTTAATTTAAATTTTTGAATGTATTATAATATAATTGTAATATAAAATTATTATAACATAAATATTATTTAAAGAGTATTATATATATATATGTATTATATATACCATTCATGTATATTTTATTTATGTTCATTTCCAGGCCCTGAGAGACTTAAAGTCCCTGAAAAAGGTGGCAGGAAGAAACAGTGGGGGTTGGAAGAGGACCTCTGGTGCTAAGAAACAACCGCCAACCGTCAGTGCTCAGTTTCAAGTAAGTTTTTTGCTATTCTATTTTTATTTAAAAATAAGTTTACCTAAATATTAGGCAAGACCATAGGGAAGAATGTTGACCTAAGACATGAAAAGCTCTCATCCCTGCCTGCATGTGATTTCCAATGCTGGCATATTTTCCACTAGGCAGTGGTTCCCTTTAAGCTTGTCAATATGGTACCAGCTTTATTCAAATTTTTTAGCCAACATGTGTGAAGGCTTCAGCCAATACTTTAGACCAGTATATACCTGTCCTGACAATTTGTCGGCTAATGAAAGTTGCTAGTCTAGTCAAAAATGGTAGGGACTAAAATGAAGCAGAAACAAATATAAAAATGTACATACTCAATTTTTCATGAATCAAAATGAATATTTTTTTCTTTTTAGCTATCCTTGAATAGGTTGATGGAGACGTTAAACCAAGCTAATCCATTCTTTGTCCGTTGTATTAAATCAAATTCACAAAAGGAAGCCTGTAAACTTGATGAGGAACTTGTAATGCGTCAGTTACGTTACACTGGCATGCTAGAAACGGTTCGCATACGTCAGTCTGGTTACAATGTCAGGCTTACAAAAGAGGTATTTTTTGGTGGAGTTTCCACTTTTTTTAAACTAAAAATTTAAGATTAAATGAAAATATTATTATTATTAATCTTGTTTAACATTTGTAAAGTTGGCTTTTTTGAAAATTATTTTATTACATTTTTTACATCTTTTTAGGAATTTTGTCAACACTATAAAATATTACTGGAAAATGGTCTCTCGTCAACTTTAGAAGAAATTCAAGAATTCCTGAAGACAATGAAATTGGACCCAAAACACTACCAAATTGGACAATCTAAAGTGAGTGACATATTATCCATCATCATTATCATGTATCGTTGTCATAGTCACTTTATCATCATCATCATTTTCAAATGATTGAAAAAAAACTCCAAATTAATCATTGAAATTTAAAGTTATACTGCAATAATGATGAGACAAGAATTCGAATAAAAATCAAGGTGATTTAGTCCAAACCATTTAATCAATGGATTAGAAATTGTGGAAATTCAAATCAAGTAAATCATCTTTTTATCACCATAAATATTAATTATTGATTGTACTGTAAAAAATTGTTCAATGAATCTATCAGATAATGATCAAACTGCAAGATGTTGGTGGTTCCAAATATTTGTGGGTTAAAATGTCATATCTAGTACTTATAAATGTGGTTTATTTACAAGAATTATTTTATTTGTTTGTGATATACTGTAGTACTGAAGAATTTCTAATCCATGGATTGAAAGGCTTGGATTAAATCACCTAGATTTTTTTAAATTCTTGTCTTGTATCATTATTGCAGTATAACTTTCAATTTTAATGATTAATTTGTTTTTTTTTTCTTAACGTACTTAACTATTCCTTTACCTGACTGAGGGATCTTGTAGTCGCATTCATGATGGAACTCCCTTATAACTTGGTATGAAACCAGGATTCCAGGCAAGGACTACTAGAGTGAAATATAATCGTTTAATCAACTTCCTCTCTTTACATCTTACAACCCGTCTAAAAACTTTCCACACCCCTTAACTTCAATCATATTTAGATGGCCTGTTGTCCACATCTTTCTCCCATGAGGTTTGTAATTCTTCTGATTTAATGTTTTTATCCACAAATATACTATTAATACCTTTCCTATAATCTCCATCATCTTTTCTATCCTGTTGTTGATACATTTATCACTTCTTTTCGTTCATAAACATCTATTATAGAATATTTGCGAGTGTTGTGAGATAATCTATACTGATTGATATATATTTTTATTGCTTAAATGACAAGTTAGCATTTTCTGAATTATTTTTAGTGAATTCACTTCTTAATAAAAGAACCATTGTATTAGCTTGGATACACTTACATATTGGATTCCATGTAATAAAAGCTTCATAATTATTGCCTGTGTTTGGACCTTGTCAAGAATTTGTGCTCAACCTGGAATTGGATCGCTGATGACAGTCTTCATTTGTTTGAAATCGCTTGCAATTGTAATCAATCTCTACTTACTTATCAAAATTTGTATTGTTTTTTAAAATTCTTTTAATTACATTTTTCGCGCTGCACCTTTAGGCTGTAACGATCAAGAGGAAATCATCATTAAGAAACTGTAGGTAGCGGTAGCTTTTACTACGAAGAAATGGGAATTCCGAACTAAGCAATGCGCATGCGCAGTTACCAAATAACGTCCATGAATTATTTAAAAAAAACACAGTGAGCATGCGCTTGGAAGTAAGTGACTTTATCAAGCCATGTCGAGCATGCGCAGTTACCAAAAAGATGTCTCAGTAACAAAATAGCAGCTGTTAAGACGTCTTATGAACCAAATAGCGGCTGCGAAGAGAATGATTACCAAGATATCATCCTAGGAACCAGCGGCTGCGAAGAGGGTATGAATATAATGAGAACTCGAGTGGGTCGAAAGCCTGTATTTTGGCTATCTTTACAGCCAGTTTATCAGTGTTCATCAGGGGGAATTGTAATTAAATTATCGCAAAAAAAGTATATTAGGCTCTATCGTCGTACGTAGACCTATGCATTGACAATTTCATAAAATATAACTACAGAAACTGACGACACAACCTAGGGCCTAGGCCTACTACTACTACTAGCCAAGTAGTAGAGCCAGGGTATTCCACATATATTACATTATAAATATATATGTATAAGTGTGTATTTGTGAATATGTTTGTGATCATGGCAAATGTTTTGCGCAGTATTACATTTCAGTCTACACTACAACTCTGGAACACGTCTGCTACTTCCAAATAAAGAATTGTTTAAATTTATTCCCAGATCATACCTTCAATAATGTAAACTTTACAATATTTATTGCTCTATAGGAAAATACAGTTACAGATTGATTTGTTGAAAGAGCTAACTATAATACGATAACAAAATGTACACATAGGATAATTTTGGAAGTAGCTGTATACACAAATTAAATAAGCTACAGAAGTTGCGGCGTTTTTTTATAGGAAATATTTCTTGTTATTTTTTAATCTTTTTTAAAAAAATGGAAACTAAACTAATAAAAATAATAACATAATAACAACACAGTACAAGGATTCATAAAGGATTTGGTAAGTTTAGTTTCGTTATTATTTTGCATGAACGTACCTAATGTATGATGTGTTTGATAATTATTCTTTCAAGATCTTCCTACGAGAATCAGAACGTGCTAAGTTACAAGATGCATTACATGCTGTGGTTTTGAAACATATTGTAGTCATCCAGTGGTGGATTCGCGGAGTGCTTCAACGACGCCGGTATCTTAGAGCGAAGCAAGGGATAATAACATTCCAAGTAAGATTTTGTAAAGTTTAAACAATATTATATGGCAAAAAGTTCCCAAAAGTACAACCAAAAATTTAAAAATTCTAGAGTAGGGGTTTTTTTTGCAATCAAGACTAGGCCTACATTCATTTCTATAAATTATAGTTTAGGCCTCTTCATATTTTCAAGCTAGGCATACATTTTTTGTAGACCTATAGACCCCACCTTATTAAAAACATCTTCTATGTCAGCTCAAAATAACAACTTGACAAGTTAGACATAAAAATGTGCAGAAAATCATTGGCTATCTTATCGGATAATTATTTGTGAATTTTTAATTGCCAATTTGATATTTTTGTGATTTTATATCCAGTCTCTCAATTCAACACACGCTGTTTTTTTATGTTGTTTTTTTTGTTTTTGCAGTAAGTATACCGAAATATGTATATGTATACAACCTGTTAAGATGAAACTTATTTTAGCCGCTCTGTGGTCACTTCACCCATTCATATTTATGTGCAGCCTGCCATTGGCTGTATACTAGAGCCTATTAACAATTACTGTACAATAGTGGTCTGGTTTTTGCATTTCTGTGAAAGTGGTACTGTAATGTTTCACATAGGCCTATATGGCATTATAGCAAGCTCCTATATTATTCTGTTGCAGAATTTTGTTCATGTTTTTTGACACAAGTATACAGTTTGTTTCAATATAATTTTGTTTGTTTATTAGGCTCTTTACCGTGGTTATAAACAACGTCAGGTCTACCAAGTTATCAAGGAGCAAGCGGTGCGTGAGAGTGCTGCTGCCTATTTACAAGGGTCATGGAGGGCCTACAAGCACAAGGTGCTGTATAACAAACTGAAACGTGGTGTTCTATGGATACAGTGCTACATCAGGGGAAACAAAGCTAGGCGAAAGTAAGGAAGGTTAAAATAATTATTATTCTATTCCTTTCACATCCAACAGCTAGTACACTTTCCAGTGACAGAATTAACAATCTGATGCTTTAAAAAGAAGTTTAGTTATGAGACTAAT